AAGCATCCCACGAGGAGAGATGACCGAGCTCATCAGCACACTTCTCAAGGCGTCAGCAAGTGCTCGATCATAGAATGTTGGAGGAGTGGATCTACCCCCAATAGACCAGCTAGCCCAAAGATCTCTCGTCGAGTAAAGGATGACGACTTCAGTATCTCTCAGCGTTATCGGCCGCTTGATTGAGCCGAGCCAGGCGTTCACATACCAACACTAGGGAACCACCAGAAAATCGAAGATTAACACCGAGGTACTTCCCGGTTTCTTCGACTGAGCACGTCACTCCTCGATCAGAGAGCGCCTTCTGCAACTCTTCTCGCAGTTCCGGAGTAGACAAAGCAGAAAATTTACGATAAGGCGTATGTTGACCACCAGCTTCAAGAGTGTTGAGCCAAAGGGAGAGGTCACGGACAGGAACCTTCACGGTTCTATCAGCAAACATATAATCATCAACCACCAACTCGAAAAGGTCGCTCCCAAAATGACATGCCAACTCCTCCTCACTAGCACAAAGGGAGGATGCAAGTCCAGCTGGACCCACATTCACTCCAAACGTGAGTCTATCACTCACAAAGACATCACTGCCAGCATACAACAACATCTGAGAGCCATAAACTCTCACATGATAAAACGCGGCAGTTGCATCCCCCACCAATAAAATGGTAGGGGAGGCGATCATTAATCGCACAAATATAGCCGCCGTAGAAGGGACAAAGCTGGAAGCATCAGGCAACAACATATTAGCAGATCTAAAATCACAAACTAAGCGGCCTTTACGGGCACCAGGAATCCCTTCGCCACCAAGCAGAAAAACATTCGCTTTGAACGGAGAGTCCACAGTACCCTTCTCAACTTTAGTCCACCATTGACGCTGAACATATTCTGCCACCAAACCATCGAAGATACGCTTTCGCTCTGGACTCAACCGGTTGCGAAGCGCCTCCGAATACTCCCGCACAACAGTATCTCCTGAAGGCTTTGGAAACTTGAGTTCGCACGTCACAGATTGTCTTGGGATATCAATGATCTCAATTGGACAAAGAGGGCGAAAACGAAACTCAAATTTCGGAGCGTAAGGAACAGGACGCCA